CAGCATGACTGAAGGAGGCTGTGTTGCGAAATAGGAAGCCGATTCTAGATTTAACTTTGGATTGGAGATGCTTAATGTGAGTCTGGAAGAAGAGTTTACGGTCTAACCAAACACCTAAGTATTTGTAGTTGTCCACATATTCCAAGTCAGACCCGCCGAGAGTAGTGATTCTAGTCGGGTGGGCGGGTGCAAGCAGCGTTCGATTGAAGAGCATGCATTTAGTTTTACTAGCGTTTAAGAGCAGTTGGAGGCTACTGAAGGAGTGTTGTATGGCATTGAAGCTCGTTTGGGGGTTTGTTAACACAGTGTCCAATGAAGGGCCAGATGTATACAAAATGGTGTTGTCTGCGTAGAGGTGGATCTGAGAGTCACCAGCAGCAAGAGCGACATCATTGATATACACAGAGAATAGAGTCGGCCCGAGAATTGAACCCTGTGGCACCCCCATAGAGACTGCCAGAGGTCCAGACAACAGGCCCTCCGATTTGACACACTGAACTCTATCTGAGAAGGAGTTGGTGAACCAGGCGAGGCAGTCATTTGAGAAACCAAGGCTATTTAGTCTGCCAATAATAATGTGGTGATTGACAGAGTCAAAAGCCTTGGCCAGGTCAATGAAGACGGCTGCACAGTACTGTCTTTTATCGATCGCGGTTATTATATCGTTTAGGACCTTGAGCGTGGCTGAGGTGCACCCATGACCAGCTCGGAAACCAGATTGCATATCGAGGGGGCTGTTCGATGCTAATGCAGTACACCACACCATCCCCTCCTTACTGAAAACTGCTTTGCATAAACAATCAACTAGCCTACTTAAACACACCAACTATGACAACAAGACACGGACCATGTTCATGCCTAGCTCCAGTATATTTATTTACTCATCATGGAGTCATGGAAAGATTGATGTTGATGCCGCTGCAATGTTGATGGGATCAGACTTTGAAAATAGAACACATAGGCCAGTCACGTTAGCCTCTGCAGTAGTTAGTTACCTAGCTAACGGTTAGATATGGTCCAATAGGCCGGGTTCCCAAACTTTTTCTCTCAGGCCCCCCTTCTAGCATTGGGTAGCATCCTGTGCCCACCACGTCTATTTCTATGGGCACAAGCACTGTTCATGACACAAACTGTTCACACCCCTCTTGTTGGCGGAGAGAACATTTTGCAGGTTTAAAACTTATTTCCTGCAATTCTACACATTTTGTCATGGGGTGCAGAGAAATGTTGCAATTTTAAAGCTCATTTTCTTGCAATTCTATACATTTTGCCATATCTAATGTGTATTCATGTGATATTTGAGTGACTCAAACGTTACAACAAAAAACGTAGCTAAAAAACATTAGCTGACATGGGCTAGTTGATCTGGACATTTCTTACAGATCAATAGTTCTCTAAGGTATGCAACAACTGACATGACAAGAGGAAAACTGATGATGCACTACCCAATTTTGAAATTGCACATTGTGCATTTTACTATTACAACTTTCAAGAGTAAGTTGAAAGCCGGACTGAGTTCCTTATAAAACAACCCCTCGCGCCCCCCTAGGGGGTGCGCCCCAAAGTTTGGGAATCCACTGCAGTAGGCTGTAGCTAACGTAACCTAATGTAGCTAAAGTTAGCTTGAAAAGTTACAAATCACATCGCCAGATAGCATAGCAGCTGGATAATTACATTGATTTGCTTTGGAATGTCTAGCCACCGTACTATGAAAGCTAGCTATAACAAGATTTGGGTTTAGATAAACAAATGTATTTCGCTAGCTAGTTAGCTAAGTTAGCTACATTACCTCTACTCAACTTCTTAGTAAGGTAACCGATGCAATGTTTCCCTTTGCTTGCTTGTAGTTTGCACATCCAGGTACTGAGCACCACACCATGAATACACTTTACAGTTGTTGTAGACACACAAAGAAAAATAAATAGTTATTCGCAAGCTGATGTTCTATGAACGAGTGGATGGTCCAGTGAGTAAAGTTAGCTACCTGCTGACACCCATTCTCAAACGGATCAACCTCGACAGGGTTGGTGTTACTTCCTAAAATCACTATGAATTCTGTATATTGTGGTTTACTTACAACCAGGAAATGTAGCGGTGAAATTTCCCTTTAAGCTAAAAGGTCACACAGATGATGTGAGAACATAGGCCTAGATTGTGAATTCCTTGTGGACATCTAAGGTGATGGTGCCATATCAACAGTGGTGGTATCAATATTGGTGCTTGGAGAACTTGTGCTTGCAGTATAGGCTAACCAACCCAGACAAACACTTCCCTTACCTTCCCTCTATTCCAGGCAACAGCAAGCCCTACCCAGAGATGCTGCCATGGAGGACATGAACATGAGGAACCTCTACCTAGAGTACAGGCTTCACTCCCTGGAGAGCCAGATGTCCAAGGAGCCCCCCTCCAGGCCCTCTGTAAGTCTCATTTTACACTTGGTATTTACATGTGTGTTTTTGTTATCCGGTCAATAACGTTAAGTTTCTACTCTTTCTTCTTTGTCCATCTTCACTTCATCTTCACTTACTCTTATTCTTTCCTTTTTTCTCTTTCATCCACTCCTCAATCCCATTCATAGTCCATGTCCATAAAAAGTCTTCGTTCTCGTACATTTGATGTTGGTGACAGCCATGAGAAAGACACTGTCATGACCTCCTTAGCCAATGATAGCGTAGCCTCTCAGACAGATGGCATGTCAGCCCACAAGGAGGCTGCTGACCGCTTAGGCCAGGAGGGGGAGCTACACCCAAACCAAGAGCAGAAAGAAACCCAGACAGACTTGGATGAAACAAATGATGGTGTACCTGCGGCAGAGCCGACAGGGAAACCAAGCAGGGCTGAGAGTGGAGAACAGGAAAGAACAGATGTGACTGGAGAGGGAGGAGAAGAAGAACAGACCGAAAAAGAAGCAGCAGAGGGAGATGCAGAAAAAGGGGAAACAGAAGAGGCTGACAGAGAGTCCAAGCAGGAGAACCTGGAAAAGTCTGAGAATGTCAATGAGGTGGCTGTTGATGAACTAGTGGACAAAAGCATAGAGGAGAATCTCATTGCCAGACAGGATTCCACAAGTAACACTGTGCTGGATTTGAGTGTATCCAAACCCCCCTAAATCCCAGAGTTCAGAGGGAAGTGAGGCAGTGGCTGGTGAGCCATCAACCTCAGAGAGGCCTAAGTCAGCTAAACCTGCATCTGAGCAAGAAGAGGTGACAGCAGGTAGTGTGATGGGTACAGATGATGCAGAGGGTACAGGGGGTGACGGAGAAGGAGAAACAGAGGGAGGTGGAAGTGGGACAGTGGCGGAAACGGTCGGGAAAGAAGAGGAAGTTATAATGGAGCCGGACGCTGACCCCAGTGCTGACCTCAGTGATGGCGAATCTGACAGTTGTATCATCAAGGAACTCGACACTGATGATGTCAGCGAAAGCGAACTTGAGTTTACTTCAGAGAGTATCCGTGGCGCCGAGCTGCATTCAGAGGTCATTACTGATGACAGTGAGAAAAGAAGTGAAAAGCTGAAATATATGTCTCCCAAAACTCATAAGGTACCAAAGGCTGCCCTTGGCTTCTGACCTGCCAAGATGCTAGTGCAGTGTTTGAGTTAGCAGAAAGTGCCCGCAGTGTTTGGCTTAATAGCATATTAGGCTCCCAGTCTGTGTACTCTACCTCATTCAAGTCCTAGGTGCTACGTTTGTATGTTTTCACCTACCTACACTTCCTTTCTTTCCTCCCATAATCTCTCCCTCCTCTCCTCCTAAAACATGTTGTTCCTTTTTTGATTTGTCGCATTCTGATTGCGTAAGCATGATGACTGTTGTTTCTCTTTTCCAGACCTCAGGGAGAGGTTCAGGCACCCCCTCGCAGAAAGAGCACAAGCTGCAGAGAGAGAACCTGAAGCTTTCCTCAGAGAACATGGAGCTCCGCTTTCAACTGGAACAGGCCAACAAGGACCTGCCCAGACTAAAGGTATGTTATAAAACATTTAAATAAATGGCTTTGACTTACAACAAGACTCAAGATCATTAGCCACCTTTCATTTTGACTGGGGCCTTGAAGCCCAAGAACTTAAGCCCTGGAACTAAGTTCAAGCACCAGGTTAAGACCTCAGTGGATGGGGGGCTTTTAAGAACTTTGGTCGGTCAAGACCTGCCAGAGATGTTTATATTCCAGCTCATTCAATTATCCTCTCTCCTTTACTGATAGGACCAAGTTTCAGACCTCAAAGAGATGTACAATGTTCTGAAGAAGGAAAAGGCTGAGGTGGAGAAAAAATTGGGCCATGTTCGTGGGGTAGGTCTATCTTAGTCTTGTGTATACAGACGTCGTATTCCTATGTCGTCAGGCTATAGGTCTCCACTGTCTATAACACCTGTCTGTGTTCACGCTTGTTTTACAGTCATGACTCGTAGAGGCATTCTCACCACAGTCAATTTAACCATCTAGTAAAAGTGTATGATGTAAGAAATATATCAAAAGGCTGAATGAAACTCTTTCCTGTCCACTCTAGGCGGGTCGCAGCGGTAAAACTGTGCCAGAGTTGGAAAAGACCATCGAGCTGATGAAGAGGGTGATGAAGAGGGTGGTGGAGCGGGAGAACGAGACGCTGAAGAAAACTCCAGCAGCACTGAGTCAGGAACAGCTCACAACTCTGGAGCGCGAGCATAAAAAACTCAAGGTGAACTCTTGATTGATGAATGATTTTGAACAACCAGTGGATCTCTTATAGCCCTTCAACACTGCTCGAAGGCTATGATGTTCAAGTTCAAATATATTTTGTCCTCTTGTTCTCTCTTCTCTAGAATGACTACAAGAAGCTCAAAGGAAACACTGAAGCACTGCTGAGCTCCAGACTGGAGACCAAATCCAAAGGAGTGGAGAAAATTGTGATGGAAAACAAACGTTTATGCAAAGAGATTAAAAGGGTATGTGTCCCGTCCCGTCCCCTTTTCATTTAATTTGACATGGTATGCATAGTTAGAACATTTAGACAAGTCTCAGGGCAAATGTTTCTGGCCAAGACCAGTCTGGAGGTGACCAACGAGAAGCTGGGGGCTGAGCTGGAGAAGGCCAGACAACGGCTAGTGGTAGTCTAGGGTCATCCCTGAGTGGGTTGACAGTAAGACCTGGAAGGCCGCTGTGGTAACAAGGTGAGAGATCCGTTGAAATGAACCAAGTTAACCATTGATTCTCCATGGGAATAATCCCATTCAGCCCTCATGTAACCCCCAAAAAACAAGCAAACCCAATGAACCCAGTCTTTTTACTCCTGTAACTCCTTAATGCTAAATAAAACATGCTATGGATAAGAGTGTTGCTAAATGACTCAAATGTTAATGTAAAAAAAGCATTAACATTTTCTAGCTATAGAATGCCAATTATGTACAGATGGCTGACTGAAGAGCAGTTGGTTTCACTCCCTCCCTTTGGGATGTTTGAGAGTAAGATGAAGGAGCTGGAGCCGGACATCATCCAGAAGAACTCCAGTCTCTCAGAGCTCAGGCTGCGGATGCGAGAAGCCAGTGAGAAAGAGGAGAGAGCACAGCGAGTCACCAGCCAACTACAGGACCAGGTTAGAGTCTGAAAAGGCACCCTGTTCCCTATATAGTGCACTACATAGGGAATAGGGTGCCATATGGGACACACTTTGTCATTCTGGGCCAATCAAACCAGATGGTTTGTAAAACGAAAATGAAGAAGAATTCCAGTACTATGCTACATTGTGTTAATGTGGGAGCAAACATTTGTTTTTATTCTCAAGGTGGAGCTGTTGAAAAACTTTCCCACCGCAGCAAAGACGGGCCTCGCCAAAGAGTTTCAGTCAATGAGATGAATACATCCCATATACCAGCTCTTCAATATGGACAAACTTGTGATGCATGTAACGTGATTGCCTTTGCATAACATAGCATTACAAGCGTATGGTTAACATATAGCTAATATGGGAATGCATTATCAAATATAAACAACACATTAAAGGAACTTAAAAACAGCATTTATGTTTGTAATATTCATTATTGCATGGATGGTTCATGAAAATCCATTTGGTTGTCCATCACTGAGTCACAAGAATGTCCCCTTTGTCTTAGATTTGCCAATAATCATCTGGAGAGTGAGAAGGCAGAGCTGGTACAGAAACTCAGTGAGTACACTGAGAATTATGGGACATCCTTTGCTGGGCCAGTTGAGACATAAAAAGGCAATGTGGTCGTGTTTAACAGTATTCCACTTCATTCAAAGTAAAGCAGGAACATCTTTATTATATATGCGTTCATGTATGTTCTGTTATGTCAAACAAAACTTGTAGTGTTCAATAAACCCAGGAATGATGCAGAACCAGAAAAGGTGCAGTAACTAACAAGCACAATACATCCACATCAACAAGTGTCTCATGTTTTTGTCGTCAGGTATGAGGAGCTGCAAACTGATGAAGGCCACTGATCAGGAAAAAAGGCAGTTGCAGGTATTGTGACTTCTGTGATCTATATCTCATCTATTTGAGTTGTTTTGATTGTAGAAAAATAAGAATGGCTTATTCTAATTTATTCCTCTGTGAACATATTTTTTTATACCTTCCTGATTCCAGGCCAAAGTGAAAAAGATGAAGAAGGAGCTGGAGAACTTTGACCCGACATTCTTTGAAGAGATCGAGGACCTTCAGTTTAATTACAATCTGGAGGTGAAGAAGAACATTGTTCTGGAGGAGCAACTGAAGAAAGTGAGTGAACAGTTTGGTGTAGCAGCCGCTGATATCCCTGATATGTCCATCAGCTAACACAGGATGGATAGATGTGCCTTTTAAAGCATTAGTCTTAAATATATAGTTGTATTTAGTTGGTTTTAATGTGAATGGGGACCAATACCAAAAGTCTTCTGAAAGATGAAATTGAATGTAATTGTTTTTCTCCTTCTGAGGCAGCTTTGTGAATGTCTTGTTTTGTTCAATGTAGCAGGGATTTTACATACTTGTCAAATAGTTTAGTAAATTTGAATAATTTGGCTAGATTGTGTTTGATACGTTTTCTATCAAGTGATTTCTATCAATAAAGCAGATTTAGGGCTCTATTTATTGTGCGATAGAAATGTTAAGGTAGTTTCCGATTGAGCCGACGTACAGTGCATTCGGAAAACATTCAGACCTCTTGACTTTTTCTACATTTTGTTACGTTACAGCCTTATTCTAAAATAGATTAAATAGTTTTTTCCCCTCATCAATCTAGACACAATACCCCATAATGACAAAGCAAAAACAGGTTTTTAGTCATTTTTGCAAATGTATAAAAAATACAAAAACTGAAATATGACATTTACATAAGTATTCAGACCCTTTACTCAGTACTTTGTTGAAGCACCTTTAGCAGCGATTACAGCCTCGAGTCTTCTAGGGTATGACGCTACAAGCTTGGCACACCTGTATTTGGGGAGTTTCTGCCATTCTTCTCTGCAGATCCTCTCAAGCTCTGTCAGGTTGGATGGGAAGCGTCGCTGCACAGCTATTTTCAGGAGTCTCCAGAGATGTTTGATCGAGTTCAAGTCCGTGCTCTGGCTGGGCCACTCAAGGACATTCAGAGACTTGTCCCGAAGCCACTCCTGCGTTGTTTTGGTTGTGGGCTTAGGGTCGTTGTCCTGTTGGAAGGGGAACCTTCACCCCAGTCTGAGGTCCTGAGCACTCTGGAGCAGGTTTTCATCAAGGATCTCTGGACTTTGCTCCGTTCACCTTCCCCTTGATCCTGACTAGTCTCCCAGTCCCTGCTGCTGAAAAACATCCCCTGAGGAGTGGTACCGTCTGGCCACTCTACAATAAAGGCCTGATTGGTGGAGTGCTGCAGAGTTGGTTGTCCTTCTGGAAGGTTGTCCCATTTAAAGTTTTTATACAGTGGGGGAAAAAAGTATTTAGTCAGCCACCAATTGTGCAAGTTCTCCCACTTAAAAAGATGAGAGAGGCCTGTAATTTTCATCATAGGTACACGTCAACTATGACAGACAAATTGAGGAAAAAAAATCCAGAAAATCACATTGTAGGATTTTTTATGAATTTATTTGCAAATTATGGTGGAAAATAAGTATTTGGTCAATAACAAAAGTTTCTCAATACTTTGTTATATACCCTTTGTTGGCAATGACACAGGTCAAACGTTTTCTGTAAGTCTTCACAAGGTTTTCACACACTGTTGCTGGTATTTTGGCCCATTCCTCCATGCAGATCTCCTCTAGAGCAGTGATGTTTTGGGGCTGTCGCTGGGCAACACGGACTTTCAACTCCCTCCAAAGATATAGCTAGTTAACAACCTCCTTTTCCACGTGGAAAAAAACGGTGGACAGAGACTTGCTAGCTACGTTAGCTAACTAGCTGGGATTTTCTACAAGGAATCTGCCTCCAGACAAAAGCTTCTCCCAAGTGGGTGTGACACCTACTCCCGTTGCCTGCTGCACTGCTGCTTGGATTCTACCTGCCGATCTGTTCACCGTCTGCCCTGGCCTGTCTCCCCCTGTCTGGTACAGGTACCCCCGCCACACTCCCCCCTCTCTCCTGAGCTTTCGCTCGCCTCCAGCACACACACGCTGTTGGGACGAGTGACTCTGAACTTACAATGGCTAGCCCCAAGTCGTTATATTATTTACCTGTGCTTTATGCTATTTCCCTCATGACTTGCTTGTTTACCCGACTATGTTTGTTCCCACACTCGGGATTCTGACTCTCTATTAGTTACACAGACTCTTGGCCTCCCATCCTATTCTAATCACCTCTCGCAGGCTTTGTATTCATGTTACCTGATTAAATTGCTGTACAATATGATCTTGTTACCATTTGATGCACATTCAAATGTCATAAAAAATCCAAACACCCAGAAAAGGCTACTCTCCTTGATGTTATCCTCACAAATAATCGTGATAGGTATCAGTCTGGTGTTTTCTGTAATGACCTTTTTGATCGCTGTTTTACAGCCTGTGTTCGTAATGGCTGCTCAGTGAAACGACCTGTCCTGATTTGTCATAGACGCTTGCTAAAACACTATAATGAGGCAGAGGCAGAGTTGCAAAGAAAAAGCCATATCTCAGACTGCCCATCTTAATCTTTTCTTTTTAATGGCCAGTCTGAGATATGACTTTTTCTTTGCAACTCTGCCTAGAAGGTCAGCATTCCGGAGTCGCCTCTTCACTGTTGACGTTGAGACTGGTTCTTTGCGGGTACTATTTAATGACGCTGCTATTTGAGGACCTGTGAGGCGTTTGTTTCTCAAACTAGACACTAATGTATTTGTCCTCTTGCTCAGTTGTGCACCGGGGCCTCCCACTCCTCTTTCTATTCTGGTTAGAGCCAGTTTGCGCTGTTCTGTGAAGGGAGTAGGATACAGCGTTATACGAGATCTTCAGTTTCTTGGCAATTGCTCACATGGAATAGCCTTCATTTCTCAGAACAAGAATAGACTGACGGAGTTTCAGAAGAATGTTATTTGTTTCTGGCCATTTTGAGCCTGTAATCGAACCCACAATTGCTGATGCTCCAGATACTCGACTAGTCTCAAGAAGGCCAGTTTTATTGCTTCTTTAATCAGCACAACAGTTTTCAGCTGTGCTAACATAATTGCAAAGTGTTATCTAATGATCAATTAGCCTTTTAAAATGATAAACCTGGATTAGCAAAAACACAACGTGCCATTGGAACACAGGACTGATGGTTGCTGATAATGGGCCTCTGTACGCCTGTGTAGATATTCCATTAAAAATCAGCCGTTTCCAGCTACAATAGCCATTTACAACATTAACAATGTCTACACTGTATTTCTGATCAATTTGATGTTATTTTAATGGACCAAAAAATTGCTTTTCTTTCGAAAACAAGGACATTTCTAAGTGACCCCAAACTTTTGAACGGTAGTGGATATTATTATTATTTTTTGTAAGAAGGAAGAGGGTAGTCTGCTTATTGACTTTAAAGTTTATGCTTATTGAAGGTGCTTGAATAAGAACATAGTTATATGTTACCAGGCCAGTTCTCCTGTTTATGAGTCATCTTCATTTCTTGGGTAAAGGAAGATGTTACGAGATGTCGCCAAGCCAATAGATGGCGGTGCTGTTATGTGTATCTTAGTGTGATACTATATAGTACTAGTGAGCCAAGTAAGGCATTACTTACTATGTACTGAATGGAGCTGTATGCATGGTACAGAGTGATGCTGAAGTAAAGACTTTCTAATCAACATTAACTTGCTTTTGTATAGAATAAACACCATACAAAGCAGATGTCCTAGGTCAGGGCTCTCTAACCCTGTTCCTGGAGAGCTACCTTCCTGTAGGTTTTCACTCCAACCCCAGTTGTAACTAACCTGATGCAGCTTATCAACCAGCTAATTATTGAATCAGATGCGCTAGATTAGGGTTGGAGTCAAAACCTACAGGATGGTAGCTCTCCACGAACAGGGTTGGAGAGCCCTTTCTTAGGCAATAGATCGCAAAGCAGCATCCCTGCTAAACTTTTTCGAAATGGTAAGTTCACTTTCTCATCCATAAACACAGTCAAGTGCAAATATGTTTCAGCAGCTCAAATCAGCAGGATGTGAGGCATTGTTAATAGGAAGGAAGTCTACCATGGATGGATCGCTAAAATAATGATAATGATCACACTTCATACATTTAAATATAATGGGGAGACCTCTACATTTGGCAGCCAAACACGAGTTACAGTGGCTTGCGAAAGTATTCACCCCCCTTGGCATTTTTCCTATTTTGTTGCCTTACAACCTGGAATTAAAATGGATTATTTGGGGGGGGGGGGGGGGGGGGGTTGTATCATTTGATTTACACAACATGTCTACCACTTTGAAAATGCAAATTTTTTTGTGAAACAAACAAGAAATTAGACAAACAAACTGCAAGTCTCTTGGGGTATGTCTCTATAAGCTTGGCACATTTTTGCCCATTCTTCAAGGCAAAACTGCTCCAGCTCCTTCAAATTGGATGGGTTCCGCTGGTGTACAGCAATCTTTAAGTCATACCACAGATTCTCAATTGGATTGAGGTCTGGGCTTTGACTAGGCCATTCCAAGACATTTAAATGTTTCCCCTTAAACCACTCAAGTGTTGCTTTAGCAGTATGCTTAGGGTCATTGTCCTGCTGGAAGGTGAACCTCCGTCCCAGTCTCAAATCTTTGGAAGACTGAAACAGGTTTCCCTCAAGATTTTCCCTGTCTTTAGCGCCATCCATCAATCCTTCAATTCTGACCAGTTTCCCAGTCCCTGCCGATGAAAAACATCCACACAGCATGATGCTGGGATGGTGTTCTCGGGGTGATGAGAGGTGTTGGGTTTGCGCCAGACATGGCGTTTTCCTTGATGGCCAAAAGGCTCAATTTTAGTCTCATCTGACCAGAGTACCTTCTTCCATATGTTTGGGGAGTCTCCCACATGGCTTTTGGCGAACACCAAACATGTTTGCTTATTTTTGTCTTAAGCAATGGCTTTTTTCTGGCCACACTTCCGTAAAGCCCAGCTCTATGGAGTGTACGGCTTAAAGTGGTCCTATGGACAGATACTCCAATCTCCGCTGTGGAGCTTTGCAGCTCCTTCAGGGTTATCATTGGTCTCTTTGTTGCCTCGCTGATTAATGCCCTCCTTGCCTGGTCCGTGAGTTTTGGTGGGCGGCCCTCTCTTGGCAGGATTGTTGTGGTGCCATATTCTTTCCATTTTTTAATAATGGATTTAATGGTTGCCCGTGGGATGTTCAAAGTTTCAGATATTTTTTTATAACCCAACCCTGATCTGTACTTCTCCACA